CTGGTTTTAACTCAGATTTTCCTGCTGTCCTCAAAGATTCTGTTCTAACTGAGATTTGCATAATTATGGACTCCAAAGAGGACAGTCACACCAGCCCTTGATCTAAAGGAACCTCTGTGATATTTGGCAACATGGCTGCGACCAATTACTGGTGTTTCCCAATGAAAAATTGCAATAATTTTGCTTCCACCTTCAGCAAACTTCAACTAACATTTGGGACAACAAATCAACTAACCACTACGCTTCCATCTGCAGGCCACCTAGGAGAAGAACCCACCCCCATCACCATGTTCCCAGGTCTCCTACTCCTCTGCCATGATGCAGCTTTTTAAGACAAAAACGGTGTCTGTTTTCTGCCCTCTTGCGACGCATTTCATTTCCCACCGCAAACCTCTGCATGGTCAGGCTCCGCATGTCACCCCCGTGTGTCGGGAAGGTTAAAAAAAAAAAAATCAGAGAGCACGAGTACACCCCTCATTAGAGATCGCCATTCCTGATATAGCACACAGCATCAAAAACCAAATTAAATATAAAGTGAAGTGGTGAGGGCACCACCCACGAAATGCACACACACCAACCCCGTTTGGTAAACAGACAAGGCTTTTAGATGGGGTCCAAGGTGGTCCAACTGCAGCCGTTCCTTACAACTGGACCAAGATGGCATGTGTTTGAAATCCAAACCTGGCCGAGAGGAGGGATGCTACGCCCTTTTTTTTCAGTCCTGGCCACAGACCAGGAGCCATAATTCTCCATAATTCTCTCCAAAATGGAGAGGAGGAAGGAGCGTTGGGTGAGAGGAAAAGGGATGCAATGTCTGTCTGCAAGTTTGTGCACATCAGACGTGTGGAATATTTTTAAATTAGGCAGTGTGTGAGTGTTTTAAAAAGACCTGCAAACTTCAAATATTCTAATATTTTCGATTATACAGTCTTCGAACCCCGTGAGAATTTTCACATTATGTCATGTTGTATCACACCGCCAATGTATTGTATTTGGATTTTATGCGATAAACCAACACAAAGTAGTGCATAGGGGAAGGCCGGAAATTAAAGTAAAATGGTGGATGTTTTCAGTTTTTGTTTTTGTTTTTTTTTTGTTACAAATAATAATCTGAAAAGTTGGATCATCATTTCTGTTCAGCCTTCTGAGTCAGGACCTTGTATATTCACCTTTCTCTGCAATAACACCTGCAAGCTTTGCACAGACAGGGAGATTCCTGTTTGCAGTATAGCTCAGATGCCATCATATTGGATGAACATCTGTAAACGTAAATCTAAACTTACAATCTCTATGATACGTTGTACGTTTAGAGTTAATGTCCTACTTAAAGTTGAACCTCCACATCAGTAACATGTTTTTCAACAGGTTCTCTTCATGTTTTATCCTTGTTTTTAGCTGCATTCATCTTCAATTATTCCAATTAATGCAATCCCACAACATATTGCTGACACCACCACATTTCACAGTGGTGATTTTGTTCAGGTTGATGTTAAGTGTTATGGTTCTACCACCTATAGTGTATTACTGACAGGCCAATAAGTTCAATTGTGGTCTTATCTGACCAAAGCACCTTGTTCCTCATGTTTGGGGTGTCTCCTGCTTGTTGCAAACTGCAAATTGGACGTCCTCTGGGGTCTTTACAATAGTCTTATTTCTGCCACTCTTTCATAAAGGCTTGATTTGTAGAATTTACAATAAATAGCTCTTTAGCCCCCGAGCTGTGGATCTCTGCAGCTTCTCCAGAGTTACCACTGAACTTATTATCTGTCTTAAAAATAACAAATATAAAAGAGGAAGTATTGGGCCCAAGTCAGAACCATGAGGTACAACTCAGCTCAGATGTGTCAAATCAGACAGAAACTGATTTGTGAAAACGCTAAATGTAAGAGATATAAGTATGAGAAGAACTATTTTAAAACCACTCCTGAAAGCTCAATCTCAAAGCCTAATAATCAGAATCATATGATAGTTTTAAAAGTGGCTGAAAGATCCAATGAGACTACAAATGTATTTTGACCTGCCATTATGTTGTCACCTGAAACCTTCTTGTAATGACGTTTCTGTTGAGGGGTTCTTGGAAAACCTAACTGGTGTTTGTCTTCAATTTGGTGTTTTTCTAAAAATAGTGAAATGCTCTACCAAAAGTTACCATGTCCATTGTCTTCTTTGGTCTCCATTTTTGTGATTGTTAACTAATGTTCACAAACAATCCTTGGAGGCCATCAAAGAACAGCTGGATTTCTACTGAGAATAAATTAAACATGTGGACTCTGTTTAATAATTATGAGACTCTTGAAAGAAGCTGGGATGTCACATTATTGGGGGCTGAATACAAATTCAGAATCGTGTCATATTCACCTCAATTCACAACTACAGTGAAGTAAAGTGCAAATGGCCAATACCATGTATTGATTTGTCCCATAAAATCCCAATAACATTCATCTGTGTTCCTAGTTCTAATGTCACAAAATAGAAAAAAAACAGTTCAAGGGCTATGAATACTTTACAAGGTGCAGTATATCATTTATTTTTTTATGAAAGAAAAGCAAATTAAGGAAAGTAAAGTATAATAAAAAAGTTAAATCCTGTTTAAGAGTCTCCCCGGTCAGCACACTTGGCCCATGAAAGAAGCCATTCAGGCCCGAGAGTGGCGACAGGTATGGCACACAGCCTGAGGGAAAAAAAAAAAACGAAAACGAAGCTTGATTCGAAGATCGAAGAGCAAAAACAAGGAAGCTGAAAAAGTTTTGCAGCAAATATTTTTTTGTTTCTTTAAGAGAAAACCTTCTCATTTGGGAGAGAAGGGGAGGCTAGTTTCTGGAAGGGTTGACACAGCAGGTTTTTGGCCACAAGGCTGAAATACACCTTGGCACAAATTTCACATAAAACAGCAATCACTATCTATTTCAAATAAAAACAGAACTTCAGTGGTTTGGTTCCTCCTGAATGTGAATAAGAGCAGAGTCAAAACTTCATTTGTGGCTAGAGTTTTTAAATGCAGTAGACAAAGGAAGATCTCTTTTGTGCATTCACATAGCACAGTGTCTGTGTGTGCATGTGTATGTGTATGTGCGTGGGTCATAACAGGTGTGCACATGTCTATCTAACCTTGTGTGAATCAATACCTGACGGAACACCAACATTGTGTGGACACTGTATGTGTGTGTGTGTGTGTGTGTTTGTATCTGTGTGGGCATGTTTCTGTGTGTCTCTGTGTATGAAGACCATATGAAGGATGTAAATGTGTGGGGTATAGTAGCATGTGTGCTAAATATATATATTTTTTTGTTTGTACATGTTTATCACAGAAAATAAGCTAAGGCCATTGAGAAAAAATGTATACATGTACTATTTTTCCTCTTGTATAAATTTGAAATGGGTCAATTTGACCCGAATACCATACAAGGATTAAGGGTGCCATCTTTATATTAGTGTGCAATTCTTTTTACATTTGTCCTAAAACCATCTTAGTGCTGCCCTCTTTGGGTTGGACGGTGGTCACTGCAGTTGAATTTTCCTATTGGTTCAAATGGTGCAGCTTGGTACAGGCTTACGTCACAGCCCCTGAGACATGCCCTTGTAGTGTTCCTCCACTGCCGCAGCAATGCCTGCATCACCGAGTAAAAGTCCGTTATGACATTTAAATGTCATCACTTTCTTGGTCTTTTTGGACATGGATTGGTTTGTCTGTAATTTGAGGTGCCCATATGATCTCCAATCACAAAGAGCGGCACTAAATTTGGAATTAGTTTAACATTGACAACATGGTTGCAAGCTAAGCAGTGCTCAGCACAGCCCAGCTCTGCTGTTGATGAACACATACTGTATGTGCTACTTTTTTTGTCTGTCATATAATGAAATACACTGAAGCTTGTGGTTGTAATGTGACAATTTGTGGAAAGTTAAAGGGCAAAAAAGCCTAGGGTGCAATAATTATGACCATGCTGTTCCACACTGACTGCATCTATCCGGTGGCTTCAGGACCTTCCATAATCTTAGACAACTAGCAGTTTGATTTCAAGTAAACATCATCGTAAATTCATACAGCCAGCCTAGACAGACACCAGCATAACAACAAAACCACAGATCCAAAACCTTTAGAAGTTACTGCACAAAAGCAACAGAAACATCTGTGTGGCAGTGGAAGGTAATAAAAATATGTTTGGGGATCAACTCAAATCACAGCAGGAAGTTGAGTTGATGTTCTCATATAGGTGAAATGCCAGAATACCTACAAGCTGTCAGCACCTATCGTTATGAATGCAAGCTGGGGAGCGTGGCTCAAAAGGGTCTCATATCATCCGCCACACCTCTAAACAAGCTGCGTGAAAGTGATTTGACACACCACCAGGTACAGCGGGAGGGACTCTTTCCAGGCTGATGACGGTGTGCTGACCGTGCTCCCAAATGTTTGGCAGGCCTTCTTTAAAGCTGTCTCTGAGGAATAAAGATTACAGGTCACCTGCTCTCTATTGGATACAATCATGTGGCACTATTGCAAACATATGTGCAACAGAGGGGTGTGTGTGTGAGTGTGTGTGTGAGAGAGAGAAAGATATTGCAAGTGGCTCCATGTCCAAAATTAAGATGGATGGAGATGAAAGGATGAAGAGGGCTCACACATGTCCAAAAGTAAGATGGATGGAGATGAAAAGGGCTCACAATGTGAGAACTGTTTTCTGCCCCAGCTAATAGCAGCATGTTCTGCCGCAACCTTTATCTGTGTTAGAACCTCAGTCAGTCAGTCATTTTCTACCGTTTATTCCATAATGGGTTGCGGGGGAGCTGATGCCTATCTCCAGCAGTCTATGGGTGAGAGGCGGGGTACACCCTGGGCAGGTCGCAGGGCAACACACAAACAACCATGCACACACTCATTCATACACCTGAGAGCAATTTAGAGTGACCAATTAACCTAACATGCATGTCTTTGGACTGTGGGAGGAAGCCGGAGTACCTGGTGAGAACCCACGCATGCACAGGGAGAACATGCAAACTCCATGCAGAAAGACCAGCTGGGAATCGAACCCAGGACCTCCTTGCTGGAAGGGCAACAGTGCTACCAACTGCGCCACTGTGCAGCCCTGTGTTAGAACCTGATCTACTAAAGTTTCGCATGTATAAAAACACACACAGACTTGATACTTGTGTCTGTCAAATGAGCAGAATATCAGCCGCAATCCATTTAGATTGTATTGCTTCACAAATATGCAGAATATATGCATATATATCATATATATCAGTGTGTGCAAAATACTGGCAGGAAGATATTCAAAGGTTATCATTTAGGAAATGCAATGTGATTTATCAAACATGAAATGGATTGCTGTTTCTGTGTCCATTTTTAGCATGTTTGAAAGGCAGGTGCAAAATGGCACAGCGTTGTGAACACATTTGTGCGGTCATTGTGGCGGGAAGGAGGCATAGGTACAATGACAGACGGTGGAGAGTGAGATTTTTCTGTGCAAATGTCAACATATTTGGACTGTCAGAAATAAAAATAGTAGAGACATATCAATCCAGCAATGCCAGTTTTGAGAGCTGATTTCGAGCAAGTCGCAAATAGAAGCCATGCAATATCTCCTATGGAAAAATTCCTTTTAATGTCTGAATGATTCTAGTGCACCATAACTTTATTGCACAACACTTTTATCTGGATTGCACTGGAGGAGCGCTTCTATATAGCCCAGAAAAGGTGGCACAATTTATTGTTGTCTGCTGCATGTTCCACAACATATTCACAATGTCTTGAATGCGGGGGTAAAAGACTTCTGCTCAGGACTGATTAATGCATTAGGACTGCAGACACGTGCCATTCTGATTCAAAGCCATTTCTCATGAGCCATTTGAAGTATGCATTTTATTTAAATTCTTTATGCAATTAAACCAATTAAACAAAACAGCCAGTAGTGCACGCAAAATGCTCATTTATATAGGGCTGTTCACACCACTTTTACACCTGTTGCACCCGCAACATGCCCACTAATAACGTGCAATATAGCTTTCTTATTTGGAACCTTAGTAGACCAGGCCCTTACACTTTAAGTCACATGGGCAGACAATGTGTGCAAGGAAGATTTTGCATGTGGGTACATATCGTGGTTACTAGCTTGTAGAGTGTCTAGCAAAAGTATACACATCTCTTAAACTTTTCTCTATCAAGGGTCATTAAAACCACAAACTACGGTGTATTTTATTGGCAGCATCATGCCGTAGGAATACAAAAGAAGACCTACCCCAAGAGATTTGGATCTGTAACTGCAAAGTGTTGACTAACAGGAGGAAAACAATGCACGCCATACATTTTAGATCTGTAGTTTTAATGTTGAAAAACCTGTCTCATTTTCCTCCTACTTAACAATAATACACTACTCTCTGTTGGTGTGTCACATAAAATGCCATTGAAATACATTATTGCTTTTGGTCAAAATTTGAATTGCTCCAATTGAAATTTTTTAGGTTCCGTTTAGTTATATCAATTAAGATATAAAATGATAGTGATATTTTTTGAATCAGAACACTTTTCACCTCTTAAACCCCAAGGGGTTATCTTACACATAGTTCTCAAAATAACATGCCCAAATCTGAGTTTGTCTCAGAAATTACAAACTCTATATAAATAATCATTATGGTAATACACTGCTCAAAAAAATAAAGGGAACACTCAAATAACATATCCTAGATCTGAATGAATGAAATATTCTCATTGAATACTTTGTTCTGTACAAAGTTGAATGTGCTGACAACAAAATCACACAAA